CTAGTTATAAAAGAGACATGCAATGTTCAAAATTTATTCTACTTTTAGATATTATTCCTGGAGAATAATTTAGTGTCCAAAAATTAGCCACTTATATATACACTGGATGATTCATCTAACCATTTTTTTATTCTCAGTTATAAATCAGAATATATGACGATGAAGCAAATTCATTTAATTACCTAGCTAGGCTTATTCAGCCACGTTCATTAATACATCTTCTTCAATTTTACTTTATTTGTTGTTTCATTTATTGTGTCACTTCACTGATATAATATTAATAAATAAAAAGAAATTTCTTGATTCTTATTTAAACTATATCCTACAAATTTAATTTAACCTTTGGGTCATAATAAAACAAATTTAATAAGCAGGGGAAATCTCTGGATTAATCAATTTCATCAAGGTGCATAACTTATAAGGAAATTAATAATAGCGTAAGCAAATCTCGAATTATTAAATGAGACACCATTAGCTTTATGTAATAAACTATATGAAACTCTCCCGTGCAGTCATCTCCACTAATTAACTATTAAAAGATTAATCATATAATAGGCTCTGGATAATCCTTAACAAACCAGGGGAAGAATTAGTCAGATAAAAATTCAAAAACCCCAAGAAAGAAATAAATAACTAAATAAAATGATAATTTTACATGATAATTATAATGAAAAGCCAAAAGCAATTACAATTTACAACCATTACAACAGCGGCTCTAAATTATTGATTTCATGCGCAAGAAATAAAATATATATGCGTATCAAAAGAAGAGAGTATCATGAACTAGCTAAATGTAATAAATAAGGTCATCATCATACATAGAAGAGAGTATCATGAACTAGCTAAACGTAGTAAATAAGGAAATGTATAAATTAAAAAAACCATATAACATATTCGTGAAAAAAACCTAACACATTTTATAAACGTAATAAATAAGGAAATGTAAATATGCATTTTACAAAATGCATATTATACTAATAAATTTCATATTCTTGTTCTTATTATATTTTAAGTATTTAACTTATGAATAAAATTATGCATATTTATTAAAAAAAAATATAAGTATCTAAATATAAGCATCTAACAAAAAAATTAAAAATGGGATATGAAATTATAAGATCCGAGCAAAACAAAGGAGAGAGAGAAAAAAAAAGGCGTGATCTTATTCTTGAGTACAAGAAACAAACGACCGACGTCAGTCTCAAGAGCTTTCCCTCTCAGTAAGCCCATAACAGAGCTCCCGAGCTGAGATTATTAGAACCGAGGGAAAAGGGTGCGGTTTTAATGAAGTTTCATCCCAAAATCAATTGCTGATGAGAGAAAATATAAGCTAGTCCCAATTTTCTTATAGAATCAACGTGGACATCACAAGTGATAGTGGAGATCGGTTTTTCATGATTCAGGCGAAACATACACACACACGCCCAAGTTTGTGTTTGAACTTTGAACTACATGTGGTGAATGCTATCACTGAAAATTGTAATCAAAATATATGACCTCCATTTGGACCCTTATTTGGAATTTTCAAAGGGTTTTCGCCTCCCATTATTTTGATTAGCGAGTGAGGAACCGAATATATGTGGTTATCCACTAGGGTTTTNATTTTTTATTTATATATCTTTAATTTACCCATCAAAGAAAAAAAAAAATATCTGACCTTGTTTCATGAATTTATACTCTTAAGGATGCTTGCAGCGAGATTAGCGGGCTTAAAGAGGTAAAAATAGAGACAACATTAGACTCCACTGAGGCAGAGCCATTGGAGGCTGTACGGAGGTGAAAAGTGAACTAAATGTGACAATAGTTGTGATAAGGCCTTTGTTGTCACATTTCTAAAATACAAATAACTTTTTATGATCAACAATAAAGATTCATTCTCTTTACCTCCAAAAACTGAGATGGGAATCGAGAAAAGTTGAACTGTGAATTCGAACTATGTCCTGCGATTTTAGATGTCGCCACCGATTTATTAAAAGGATGATGTACATAAACCCGAAGACGAGGTTAACAACACATGATATTCGAGCAGCTCGCAAGTGCTCGAGTTAATGTTTGTCTTGGGCTCGAGTTTGAAGCAGCTCAAATCGAACTCGAGCATTTTGAATTCATACTCAAGCTCAAGCCCAGGCATCTAGTTTGTACGCTCGATAGTTTGTACTTTGTACGCTCGACGTGCCACTCGAATTTACATAATAAGTCTAATGATCAACACGGTGCTGCTTACATAATAACTAAACCGAGCAAATCACGGAAGGAAATGGTTTTCCTAGTCATAAGACTCCCCACACTTTCACAGGCCACGTCACATATACGTGCCTTGTCTGCATATTTTTGTAATATCCATATAGTAAACTACTTCATAATTCTCTTTTTCTTCGAGTAATTATACCGAGCAACTCAAACCCAAGCGTTCTGGTAATGTCGTCTCTTTCTTTAGTTTCTATTTTTATCTGAAAATAGAAGGCAGGAGAACTGGTCTGTGTTTTGTGTACTTGTGTAAGTTGTTGAGCTCGTTTTGTACCTAGGATTTAGGTTAGTACAGCCACAATATGAACACACTTACTGCTAGTTCATTNTAGGGTCAGATGATGATGATGATGGCTCAGGTCCACCTGACAAGCATTGGATTTGCCTTCATTGTAAAAAGAAGGCAGAGAAGACGAATCTGCCCGCGAGTACATGGCAGTTCAAGTACAGCCGGAATCTCTCATACCACTACAACACAAAGCACAACGAGATCGTCAAAAAAGGCCACTTTTGCAAGGAATGCTGGAATTCCTTCAGGACTCACAAGCAGCTCCTGAACCACGAGTGCCAGGGCCGGGTTCCTGGCCCTAGATGTGTTTCCCCCCTTCCACTTCCACTTCCACTGCATTTAATAAAAACACTTAAAAACTCTTTGTTTATTTTGCTGCATCTTTTATTGTGCTACTGAAAAATGGAGTTTTGTTGTTGAGGCTCAGTTTCCCTCATCCACCGTTTAGGTACTTTCTTTTTTATCTTATAAAAGCTACATGAAAGCTGTGAACGATTTGAGGCTCAGTTTCCCTCATCCACCGTTTAGGTACTTTCTTTTTTTTATCTTCATGAAAGCTATAATATTTGCACAAATCATTCACAAATATTATAGCTTTCATGAAGATAAAAAAAAGAAAGTTTAGTGGATGAGGGAAACTGAGCCTCAAATCGTTCACAGCTTTCATGTAGCTTTTATAAGATAAAAAAGAAAGTACCTAAACGGTGGATGAGGAAAACTGAGCCTCAACAACAAAACTCCATTTTTCAGTAGCACAATAAAAGATGCAGCAAAATAAACAAAGAGTTTTTAAGTGTTTTTATTAAATGCAGTGGAAGTGGAAGTGGAAGTGGAAGGGGGGAAACACATCTAGGGCCAGGAACCCGGCCCTGGGCACTCGTGGTTCAGGAGCTGCTTGTGAGTCCTGAAGGAATTCCAGCATTCCTTGCAAAAGTGGCCTTTTTTGACGATCTCGTTGTGCTTTGTGTTGTAGTGGTATGAGAGATTCCGGCTGTACTTGAACTGCCATGTACTCGCGGGCAGATTCCTCTTCTCTGCCTTCTTTTTACAATGAAGGCAAATCCAATGCTTGTCAGGTGGACCTGAGCCATCATCATCATCATCATCATCTGACCCTA